GGTGTGGGTGTGGGTGTGGGTGTGGGTGTGGGTGTGGGTGTGGGTGTGGGTGTGGGTGTGTGAGTGCACGCACGCGGTGGCGACACGTATTGGCGGGGGAGGAAAGTGTATTGAACAATTAGTGAAACATTATCACGAAGTAGAGGGCAGCCATAGGGGCAGTGGCGTTGAGCCCAAGCCAGGATGATGGGGCATGGTTACACGGCTTGACCACCCGGGCACTGCCTCACGTCCCCCTCCACCACGCCACCCCCACCTTGCAGCGCAACACGTACGCCCTTGAGCCGGGGGCTGAGGCCTGCCAGACATGCATGGCGGGGGCCACCTGCTATGGTGAGGGGCGCGCCCTGGGCCTGATCCTGGATATGGAGGGGTGCGGGTGGGCAGGGACGAGGTTGGGCTCGGGCAAGATGAACTCGCACTTGTTTGCATTCCACGAGTAGGTGCATGCTTTTATCCCACCGTGCTGCGCCGCCCAATGCACAACCCCACACACATTTCACCCCCCCCAAATACGACGATCAGGCGGGTCTGCGGTCGTGCCTCTTCCCGGCCACTGGCGCTCGACCCTGGGCTCTGCAGAGGTGCTGGCCTGCCCCAACCCCAGCGCCTGCCAGGGCAACCGCTTCGCCCTCTACAGCTGCGGCCCGGACGGCGTGTGCACCGGCGCCGGCGAGCCCAGCGCTCAGTGCTCTCGCGGCTACACGGGGCCCTTGTGCGGCCAGTGCGCCCCCGGCTACGGCGCCGGCGCAGCTCCGCTGCACTGCGCGCCCTGCGTCGCGGCCACAGGCGCCCGCGCGCTGCTGATACTCGCGCTGGCGGCGCTCACGGTCACGGTGGCGTACGTGTCTGCGGCCGCGTGGCGCGACAACCGGAGCGGCCGCAACGCCCCGCTGCCCTCAGACTACCTCAAGCTGCTGGTGGGCCACTTGCAGCACCTCGCCATCATCTACTCGCTGCCACTGCCCTGGCCCAACACCATCACCTTGCCGCTGCGCGTGCTGTCGTCGGCGACGGCGGGCCCCGGGCTCAGCATGGCGATGGAGTGTGCACTGGGTTCCCGCATCGGCGCCGGCAGCGGCGGCGGCAGCGGCAGTATCAACAACGGTGGCCTGCCTGCACCACTGCAGCGCATATTGGTCTACCTGCTTCTGCCGGCGGGCGTGTTTGGACTGGCCCTCGGGCTGCAGCTGGCCTGGCGCGGTGTGCGGTGGCAGCTCACTCTGTGGCGCTGCGGGCACGCCTCGGCGGCGCGGCCCTTGCATGTGGGCGCGTGGCTGTGCGACGCGGCGCCCATCACCGCCGTCACCACCGTGTATGTGCTGTACCCGACCCTGCTGCGCATCGGGCTCGGCATGTTTGCTTGCGTGGCTGCCGACACGCATGGCGGCGCCAGCGCGGGGCGCTACTGGGTGCACTTCATGGGCCAGCGCTGCTGGGAGGGCTGGCACAAACCCTGGGCGCTGGGCGTGGGCGTGAGCCTGACGGCCGTCCTCGTGGGGGTGCTGCCGGCGGCGCTGGTGGCGCTGCTGCGCAGGCACCGCGCCGCCATTACGGCCGGCCGGCCTGCCCTTGCGGCGCGCTGGGGCTTCCTCTACCACAACTACCGCCCCGCATGCGTGTGGTGGGAGGCGGTGGCGATGCTGCAGACGGCGCTGCTGGTGGGTGTGGCGGCCATCGGGCACGTGACGGGGCCCTTCATCGCCGCGCTGGCCCTGAGCAGCGCCCTCATGGCCATCCTGATAGCGCTGGTGCTGGTGCGGCCGCTGCGCTTCGCGGCGCTGCAGCGGCTGCAGGTGGCGTCTCACGCCTCTGCCCTGCTGGTGCTGCAGGTCAGCATCAGCTTCGTCGACACCCCCGGCGGCGGCGGCCCCGCAGCCCCGGCGGTCGCGGCGTGGCAGAAGGTGGCGGGCGCCGTCATGATGGCTGTGAGCGCCGCCGTCGCGGCTGTGATGACGATCGAGGCGGTGCGATCGGCGCAGCTGGGGGAGCTCGCGGCCCGTTCGCTGCGGAGTGCGGCGTCCTGGCTCTCCGGCCGCACAGCCAGCGTGCAGTCACTGCTGCTGCATCGTGTGTATACTTCAAAACAACAGCTGCCGCTGGAACCACTGCCTACTAGTCGATGATACCATACATAAAGGAGGTTGTCGGTTTGGTTGCCGTTTGCAATCCTGCACAATCCTGCAATTCTCGCCACGAAGTAGCATGGCTCCATGCTGCACACTTGAACCTTTTGAATGTTTGGCTACTGGGCACTCTGATATTTAGGTGTCCAGGCATGTCAAGGTTACTATTTGCCGGCACATCACTGTATTCGCTGGCATATCACCCTCGTTCCCGCATGCATGCCGGTGCCAAGACGGGCACATGCCCCAGCAGACGTGAGGGGGGCCGCGATGGGGGGGTGGCTGGTTGGCTGGGGGTGGGGGTGTGCGCAAGCGTTCCATTGGCTTATTCGAGACTGGCAGGTGGCCAAGCACCCCAGCTATAAAAGGCACGCAAGATGCATGCACCCGCGCTTCAAACGATCTCAGAGTTATCACACACAGGGTGGGAGGCACAATACTGATGTCTGCCTGCATGCCGACCCATCGCTGTAGCCGGAGTGCTTGCAGCACAATCGCACTGTTTAAAGATGCCAGAATCCTTTATTACTACTCCCCTGTCCAGGTCGTTGACGATTATGCAATTAGGTTTGTCTTTCTAATATCGTGTGCCCTTCCTGCCACACAGAGGTTGTTGCGCCGGCACGCTCAACCCCTCTTGATTGCAACCGCCACTCGGTGCTGCAATCGCGGCGCGCAGATCTGGCTCGCACTTTACTTTACAGGATTCGCAGTACTCTCAATGTTGGAATTATGCCATGTTCCTGTTGATAGCTCGCCAAACGACAACAAGTAATTACGTGCATCAATCCCAGCCATCTGCAGGGACAGCAACCCCTACTCTGCCCCCACTCCCCCCGATCCGTCGCCGTCCGCCGCCTCCCCAGCTGCCGCCGCCCTTGCCTCCCCTGCTTCCGCGCCGCCGCCGCCGCCCTCGCCGCCCGCCAGGCTTCCGAGCAGCCTCAGCCGCGCGCCGCCCTCCACGCCCGTGGCCCGCCAGAACTCGTCCTCGAGATCCGCGAGATCCTGGTCGCTGACCCCCGCCCCTAGATCTGCCGCGCGCGCCGCCTCGCGCCGCGCCTTGATCTTGGCCTCCTTGGCCGCCTTGTCCAGGTTCTTCTCCCTTGGGATATAGTTTGATTGTCGTGAATTGGAGATAGTATGTTGTGTGTTGGGGGGTACTTTGCGCAAGGGAGATGTTTCGAGTGTTGAAGCTTGCGCATTGTGCAGGCCAGGGTATGACGTGCGCGTCAGACAGCGGGACGTGACACACTTGAGTGCAGGTCGGTGGCCCGCACCCCTTGCTCGCACTTGTAGGGACCCATTATCCGCGCGCACCCCTCAGCCGGAGCTGGATGGCCACTGCATCGTTGTCGCAGCACCTGCTGACGCCCAGAACAGGCAAGCAGCCGGCATTCGCACACGCACACATGCACACAACACACACACACATACACACACACACGCACACGCACACACAACCAAGCCCTCGGATCACGCACCTCAGCGTCTCCCGCTCCAGCATCGCGTTGACCCCCTGCTTCTCATTCTGCACCGCCTCAGCCAGCCCCGCCGACAGCCGCAGCACGTGCGCCGCGCCGCCCGCCGTGCCGACGGCCACCATGGCGCCGTCGTCCTGCACCGCAAATGACGTCAGCGCCTGGTCCGTGACGCGCACCTGCGGGGCGGCCCGGCGCGCGGGAGCGACGCGGGTCAGAACGGGTCGGGCGCGCCCGCGTCGGCGCGGGGCTGGGGGGAGCCCGCAAAGTGTCGCTGCGAGCCGCACCGGCCGACAGGCCTGTCCGCCCACCTCGCAGCTCCCGACACAGCCACTTCCTGCCTCCCCTTCCCTCAGCCCAGGACTTCTGCCCCCCCGGCCTTGGCACTCACGGTTTGCAATCCCCCAAACCCCCTTCCCAGGCGAACGCCTCACCCCGCCCCTCGCCATCCTCCGCCCACCCTTCCCCCTCCCCTCGGT